CTGGCAACAGAACAAGATTCTGTCTCAAAAAAAAAGGTTCCACAATGTTAAATCCTTCTTTATAATAAATAATAACATTGTAATAATGTTACAGCCCAGCCTAGTTCAGTTGAAAAGAAATTCATGTTTGAATCTCTAGAAATGACACAATTCTCTTCCAGTCTGATGTAAATAGCACTTTATTATTCCTTATATCCAACGATACTATGTACTTAATACTGTTTCCAGCAAATACCATATATTTGAACATTTTAATGGAATGTCTACTTGATCATGGTATGTTATTTATATCTTATTGGGAAGAGGGATATGTTTTGTTCTACAGAAATCAAATTTATGAATTTCATGTAGATCTAGTGCCAGCTAGTGGTACCTATTATATATGCATCAAAAAGAAAATTGACTTTTTAAAAATAACCAAAAACAACATGATCTTATTGGGATTGAACTAATGCTTAAAAACAATGTTTAAAGGAATATTGTTTGCCTTGATGAGGAGGACCAACGGGCTGTGCATAAGAATGGATGTCTGAGGCCGGGCGTGGTGGCTCAAGCCTGTAATCCCAGCACTTTGGGAGGCCGAGGCAGGTGGATCACGAGGTCAAGAGATCGAGACCATCCTGGTCAACATGGTAAAACCCTGTCTCTACTAAAAATACAAAAAATTAGCTGGGCATGGTGGTGCATGCCTGTAATCCCAGCTATTCAGGAGGCTGAGGCGGGAGAATTGCCTGAACCCAGGAGGCGGAGGTTGCGGTGAGCCGAGATCGCGCCATTGCACTCCAGCTTGGGTAACAAGAGCGAAACTCCATCTCAAAAAAAAAAAAAAGAATGGATGTCTGAAACGTTCTGTCATCTAATTGTGCCAACTTCCTCTTAGTCATTGTGCTCCCATATTCGGATTATTCATGTATCTGTCGTTCTTATTGTATCAGGACGTTACTGAGGTATGGCTCATGCCTTCATTTCTGCATCTCACCATTTGTCACAAGATCTGAAAATTAGATGTGGAAAGAAATATTAATTGAATAAATAAGAGGATTCAAGAAAGATTATTGCCATATTTCACTTACCGCAGTGCATGACTTATGAAAGCAGTTATTCAGGGTTTTCAGCACTGGGTCATGACCTTAATTATTCAGAAGTGTACCAGACAACTTTGGGCCTCTAAGCTTTTTTAATCTTCAAGCATTTCCTAGTTGACTTAGATGTCACAGATCTGTTGAACCAGTAGCTGTCCCATGAGTCTCCTTAGAAATTACATGGCCTCAGACAAGCATCCCACATCCAGCTTACTAATTTTCGCATTTAGTCATTGGTCAATTTTGAACAGGCAGATTTTATTTTGGGGGGATGAAAGCGGGTTATAAAACATACGTTACAGTTCAGTCTCTAATAACATTTACTTTTAAAATCATTGCTTTCTTATTAATTTGTTGATTAGTGGTGTTAATAATTGTCACAAGTGGGAATTTCAGATGTAGGCTAATGGTTCATTAATCAAATGTAAAAGGCCGTCATCTTTTAAATGTGAGGAAGAAACTTTTCATTCCCTTTAGGACTCAGTCAGGGATGTTCCTCTGGGGAGGGGATCTTTTCACTTCATGCCTGCAGTGGTTGCCACAATTTCCAGGGCCATTTGTTCATTATCCTGCCTGGCATGGAGTAAGATTGATTTGGAACCCCAGCTCGTTGTGGAAGGAGTTTTACAGTTCAAATGAGTTCAGTCTTCTCAGATGTGTAAAGAAAATACAGTTTCTGTATTTGACATGCTTTTCTCAGAAACCTATTTGATGGATAGGTTTCAATGCATGTGCTCTGCATGCTGCCATAATTGAAATAGTTGGTTTAGATGACTCGCTCATTTGTGGATAAATGATCACACTTTCAGTTTTCTTGGCCTTTCTCTGCTGCTATCCAGGATTGGTTTGGGATGGGATGGGAGTTTGGGGTCTCGAGGTTTTGTTTTTACAATCTTGTGCAGTGGGGCAAGCATCCCCAAAACATCTTCCAGATCCTTGTCGATTTCTGCTGTACACAGCTTGGCATGGGCTGCTCCCAGGACAGCTGCAACAGGTACTATCTCATCACCTGGAACTCACCGCTGGAGTCTGGGTTTCAGACAACTGCTTCCAGCATGAAATCCCTGCACACTTCGGACTTGGTCCCAGCCTCAGGCTCTCATCCACACACTAGTCTTAGATCCTCTGTGCCTTTTACCATTATGGCATGTAACAAATTCCAGATGCCTTGAACGCCATATAAGAGGATTGGAAAGCATTGTCTTATGCTCATCTTTCTTGCTAACACCCATATGATATAAGATTCATCACGTGTAGGGCTTCTTCTAGGGGCATGGGACCTCACAGGCTTCCTCATACTTGTCTGGGATTTTTAACCCTCTCTCTTACCTCTCCTTGGAGTTTCTTCCACAGAGGAGAAAAATGAGGCACCTGCTGAGCTTGGTATCTTACGTTTATCTTTCTTTTTCTCTAGGTCATGAGAAACATGCTTTCATTTTCCTGGATATTATATCCTAATTTTTCCCACCCCTTAACATATAGAAGAAAATCTCCATGATGTATCTTATCATACTTGGCTCTTTAAAAGTGAGAGGAAGAGAGAGATTTTACCCTATCATCCAGGCTGGAGTGCAGTGGCTCAGTCATAGCTCACTGCAGCCTCAAACTCCTCAAAGCAAGTGATCCTTCCACCTCAGCCTCCCGAAAATGCTGTGATTACAGGAACAAGCTACTGCTCTTGGCTTCTGATATGTTAAGAGGAATTGAAAGAATTTTATTGCCTCCCCTTCCCTAATGGCTCAGGCTTAGGGATGGAAGGCTGCAAAGAAATAGAAATTGAATAGAAAATGATGAAACCTCATCTCTACTAAAAACACAAAAATTAGCTGGGCATGGTGGCACATGCCTGTAATCCCAGCTACTCAGGAGGCGGACGGAGGAGAATCACTTGAACCCAGGAGGTAGAGGTTGCAGGGAGCTGGGATCACGCCATTGCATTCCAGCCAGGGCGACAAGAGCGAGACTGTGTCTCAAACAAACAAACAAACAAAAATGCCTAGACCAACCATAAAAAAATAAATCAGAATATCAGATATTCAGCAACCAGATGCTGGGAGAGTTTAGGTGAATTGCTCAGTGTCTCACTTAGGAAATTAGTTCCACCCAACTGGGTGCCCTTCCTCCCTCCTGTACTGCCAAGCTGACCACTGTGCTGAACCAGTTATTTATATTCTGAATAGATATGCAAACCAAACTCGTAATGTATTTAATATTTGTAGGACAGTGTGTATGTATGTGTGTGTAGTATACACATATTCTACAAAAGAAAAGGGAAAAATGTTTTCCTCATTTGCTTCTCTGTCTGTTACAATATTCTGGTGGAGTTTGGTTCCAGTGGCTCTGCTGGCAGGAGACAGTTCTCGAAGGAAAGCGTCCTATGTCTTCATTACACAAAGAGCTGATTCGTGTTGCTGTAGTGAACAGCTGAGTCTGCCAGTCACATCAGCTCTGCCTTCTTGCCCTTCCTTCCTTCCCAACTCCACAGAAGACTTTTCCACATTCACGTGTTCTCTGGAGTCACTTCTAAAAACAATCTCATGCTTTAACATTCTTGCAGTCTGTGGGAAGAAATAGAGAAATTGAACAGAGACATGTAACTTGATGTTTTTTACTAATACCCAAAATCCTTAAATCCTGCACCAAAAGTAAAGGAAACACAGTTCATGTGGCCTTTAACTTCTCATCACTTCTAAAAGACGTGTGACGTCTAAGTCCTTCCTAGATTTAAGCTGCTATTTTTTAACCTCCTGTCTTCTCTGTTTCTTGATTCATATTCCCTCTCTTCTTCCCCCCTCCTTCCCTCTCCTTATCCAAATATACAAGAAGGTGGCAGCTATTCGTTTCTGTACAACAGAACAATAAATCTGACAAGATGAGACTCCTGGCGTGGGCAGGAAGCTAACAGCAGGCTGCCTGTACTTCTCCAGCTCCCCTATTCTAAAGGAGTTCACCTGCCCTTAAGGAAAAGGAGGTTGAGAATTTATCAGAAGCAGCATGGCATCTGATTTACCTTTCTCCATGTTATTTTTCTTTCTCCGTCTTCCACTGTAATCCCAACACTTTGCTCGTGAACTCCATTGCATATACTGTCTATGGAAAACAAAGATTCCCAGTCACTGGGTTTCACAATCCCTGTAACACAGTTCATCCTGGAAGCTGAGCTGGCTCAACGAAATGGCATTTTAGTTTTCCAACTGGAGAAAAGCAAGCCAGTCATCTAAAAGCAGCCTCACTTTTTTGTTTCTTTTGAGATGGAATTTCACTCTTGTTGCTCAGGCTGGAACGCAATGGTACAATCTCAGGTCACTGCAACCTCCACCTCCCGGGTTCAAGTGATTCTCCTGCCTCAGCCTCTCAGGTAGCTGGGATTACAGGTGCCCACCACCATACCTCGCTAATTTTTTGTATTTTTAGTAGAGATGGGGTTTCACTATGTTGGCCAGACTGGTTTCGAACTCCTGACCTCAGGTGATCCGCCCACCTCAGCCTCCCAAAGTGCTGGGATTACAGACATGAGCCACCGTGCCTGGCCCAGCTTCACTTTTTATAAAGAGAGCACTCCGTAAGAGGCTGTCTGCAGATAACAGCAGGGGGTATTGGCCCGTTTGTCTGGGGACAGCCTTACCCTGTCTGTTGAGTTTGTTGCTATAAATATTGACGCCACTTTCACATATGCAGCACGAGTAGTTATCTGAGGATGGTGTCTGAAGGCTTTTAAGTGTGGAGAGTTAAGGGGTATTATTGTCTTTTATGACTGGCTACTGCTGATGGGACTGGCCGTGGCCATCTAGAAGACACTGCCTTTGATTCCTATCGTTGTAACATTTGCTTGGGCTCTGGAGAGCGAGCCATTAATGATTGTCCTGGTCAGAAAGTTCACACCCAGAGATTCATTTGTCTCTCTTTTTCCATTTCCAGCCTGGATGTGTAAATACTACTGAAGTGGACATTAAGAAGTCATCCAGAATGAGAAACCCCCACAAAACACGGAAGGTAAAACGGGCATTCGTTGTGCTGATCTTGGGGATGAATTGCCTTGTTTACAGGATGTCCGCCGTAAAAACACTTTCTTCCCATGTTATGGAGTATCTTCCCCACTCTTCCCCGCCTTCCACAGTCCTCCCCTCCTCAGGAACAGCCCCATCCCAATTCTCAAGCACACCAGGATCTGAAGACAGAGCCGTGGTACTGACTGAGCACAGGAGAGGGACAGGACGTGAAGGAGCCCTTTCCTCTCCCAGAGAAGGGTGCGTCCTCCGGAGCCCAGGAGAGGAGGAAAAGAAAATGGAGATTTCCTTAGAAACTCTGACACTGATGAGAGAAGGGCATTTTAAAACCCAAGGAAAGCGGGGACATCTAAAAGATACTTAATTACAGAAAGAGTGCAGGGCCCCCTCTTAACACGGGGATTTTGTGACACAACCGTAAGACAGTGTTTGTACTTTGGTGTTTGTTATCTGAGTGAACATCTGTGGGGCGTGCAGGGGAAGCTATCCTAAATTCAGTGGCATTTTACATAACCCTTAAAAATGCTTGGCAGTAGTTTCTACATATTTTTTAAAGTAACGCAGACAACTAGAAGGCATTGTTATTCATTCCATAAAACACACTTGATGTACACAGGAATTTCTGGCCTGTAGCCGTCTGTTTGAGGACACAACTCATAGATTGGTGCTGCTGGATTAATACATTCCACAAACTTCAGGGTCTTCCTTTCTGTGGCTATTTCCTTGGTATTTCCTTACCATAGTGTTCTTCAGAGTCTGTGCCCCTGCGGTAAGCACCCAACTTTTATTTTTCTAGTCTTGTTTTGTGTGGCCTTTTTCTTCCATCCGTAGAAACCCAGCATCATGTTCAAAGTCCCCAAAATGGTCCAAGTACCTTTTCTTTCTTTTAAGGCAGTTTGCCTTGACGTTAGGGTAAAGAAGCCGCAGCAGAGCACCCCAAATCAATTCAGATGCAGTGCGCAGATGCTTCTGCCCCTCGGAACTCTCTGAGAGAGGTGGAGCCGGCTGAAGCAAGCCTGCCTGGTCTGTCTCTCTGGCGGGCGGCCTTACTCAGTTGCTTTCATCCTTGCTGACAGCACATCCTGAGGGCACCAAGAACTATTTTTGCAGAACAAGATTCAAAAATGCTATCAGCTCTCCGAAAAGTGCATTAAGCCAGCTCTGTCTGCTTTCTGAATAGCGAAGTTACTCTTCAAAACACTGAATTGGGTGTCCCATTTCCCGTAGCAGACACTAACTCAGACATGCTGTGATTCAGAAGGCAAGGCGTATGGATTAACCAGGTAGCACTTAGACGCAATAAGGGCATCGTTATACTCTCTTTTCAGTGCCACATTCAGCATTGATCATCTTTCTCATGTTTCACCTGGCACCCTTCTTTTGAACATGTGAGAAGGATTAGTTTATAATGCTGTGCTTCACGTACCATCACCCCTCGCTTAATGGTGAAAAGCTCACGAGCCACTGCAAGGTGAAATATTGTAAAGAAACAGGATCATTGAGATCTAGCTCTCTTCGTCTCAATAACATCTCACTTCTTGTGAATCAATAATGATAGAACGGCAGGGCCTCACCACAGTCTAGCACTAACATTTGCCAGAAGAAAACAAAAGCCTTGAAAAATCCGACAGCAAGTAGCAGGTATACCCTTGCTTTCCGCAGATGAAGCACGCTGGTGTTCTCACCTTTTGATAAATAGAACTTCTCACAGTCAGAAGTGTTCAATTTGCTAGAATGTTCGCAGATGATAATGTTATTTTACACGGAATGTTCTAAGACTCAAGCCACATACTGATGTGTTTTCTTTGAATTAGCACCACTGATGCTTTAGCTCATAGTGGTTTAGGAACTGTAATGATCCATTCAATCAGCAAAATTAATTTTGCCACTCTGTGCCAGACATGTCCTGGGCTTCGGGCGCTCCACAGTAAATGGAACAGTCAGGGCCCTGCTCCCCAGTCCGTGGTCTCATGAGGGTGCCGATACCGAGCAAGGAGACAAGTGTCTGTACATGTACCTAGGTAGATGATTGATTTCGTTACGCTTTATGTAGTCTGCTGAGGCCGCCTTAACAAAATATCACCAAGTAGATGGCTTAAGCAGTAGGAATGTATTATCTCATAGTAATGGAAACTACAAGCCCAAGGTCAGGGTGGCGGCAAGTTCAGCTCCTGTGGAGTGTCTCTTCCTGGCTTGGGGGTGGCTGCCGCCTTCTTGCATCCTCAATGGCTCTTCCTATGTGTGCATAGAGACAGACAGAAAAACAAACAGAACTTCCACTCTGGTGTCTCCTTCTTTTCTTAAAAGAACACCAGTTCCATTGTATTAGGTCCCACCCTGTAAACCCACTTAAACTTCCCTTCGTCTTTACAGGCCTCCTCTGCAAATACAGCTGCACTGGGGAACAGGGATAGGGCTGCAACCTAAGAATTTGCGCGAGGGGACACAGCTCAGCCCAGGACATATTACAAAGAGAATTTAAGCGATTCGTGCTTGTAATTGCCAAGCGAATAACTTGACAACAATCGCAAGCAGTTTCACCCTCCTCCGAGGGGTCCACAGCTCTCTGTCTGCAGAGTGGGCCACACTGTGGGATGACAAACCGTAGACAGAAATGGCAGAGGCCAGCCAGTGGCCTCTGGAAGCCGCCCTTCCCTTCCGCCATAATTGGGCTGTCTCCGCAGTGCCTCTTTGCAGCTGTGTGGTCGGCCTCAGTCTTTATACTGCGGCTGATCAGGAAGTGGAACCCATGGACCATGCTTCATCTTTGAAAACAGATGCTGCTCTTAGCCAGGAGAGCTGCTGTTCATTTCTTTGGGAGTGAGCTATAATAATATTTCCTGTGTTACATGTCATAACAAGAGTAAAGGACCCAGTAAATCCCTAAAGTAATAACCTAGTGTTGTAGGTGCCTAAAGACTGTAAGAGTCATTTCACATTTCATTTGGGCATGTTGTATTTAATTGTTGAATTTTAGACATGTTTATCAAACACACGAAGCGAAGGCTTGGCTGTATGGATGATGTGAGATATTTTAAGAATCTAAAATTAGTCAATCTTCAAGTCTTTATTTTTAACTTGAATATACTTTACCACAATACAAGGAAATAGGTAAATACCTCCAGGATCTGTGAAAGAATGATAGTGTAACGTAGCCAGAAAGAAATCAGCCTCATCTAGATAAGTTTGCCTGATGTTATTCAATCTGATACTAAAATTTTTACTGGAACAGATTCCGTATTAGCCAGAGTTCTCCAGAGAAACTAAACCATAGCCAGAGCATGGGGGAGGCGGCGGATGAGAGAGAGAGACAGAGACAGAGGCTTGTAGTAAGGCATTAGCTCACAGGATCATTGAGGCTTGGTGAGTTCGAAGTCTGATGGGGGATGCCAACAGGCTGGAGACCTAGGGAGGAGTTACAGTTCAAATCCAAAGGCAGTCTGGGGAGACACAGCTCTTGAGTCACCAGAAGCTTTCGTTGGGTTGGTGGCATCAGGGACCCACTGCGGCGTGTCGTCCAGTCGCCTGGCCCCTAGTGCACCCCCTCTCACTGCCGTGCCCCTGCACTCCCTCGCTGGTCCGGGAGTCCTGGTGCCACGTGGATGGCGTCTCCGCAGAACATGTGGACCTGGCCACAGCCCATGCCCCCAGCGGACTGGACTTAGGAGGCATCTCCCCGCTTTTGCCAGGCCCAAGTGGTACGAGGCATGGCTCCAGGCAGCTGGGCATCCCCGCAGCTAATTTTCCTGAATGAGTAGTAGGTAATCTTCCAGTTGACGTATCCACTGGCATTTGTTATGGTTGGGCCAGTGCTGGAAGTGATGTCCATTAGAGGTGGTGGTGAGCATCGGATGGAACCCATACCACCAGAATAGGAAGTCCATGGAAACGCTTGTCCCGCATACCTTCAAGAAGACTTCAGTGGGGAAATCTCAACGTTGCCCTTGTTGGCTACCTCAGACCAGAAAAGAACTTTGATTCTTCAGAGTCGCTTATATCAGCAATTCAAGGTGACACTGAGGACGCTAAGAAACTACTACATTTACCAGAACATTTGAAACTCAAGACAATTTCTTCCGGGTTTCTAAAAGCAAAATAATGAATAGCACCTGATGAAAAATCATATCATATATTTATTCACTGTTTTCTACTATTTCAGTGTTTATTACTGTCCAGCCTCATCCTGGTTGTATTTTAAAACTCAAACGTTTTCCTACAGCTGTGAATTAAATAGTACAATGTAGTTCACATATCATGCTTCAGCCAGGCATGGTGGCTCATACCCACAATCCCAGCACTTTGGAAGGCTGGGGCGGGCAGATCACCTGAGGTTGCGAGTTCGAGATCAGCCTGACCAACATGCAGAAACCCCATCTCTACTAAAACTATAAAAATATCTGGGTGTGGTGGTGCATGCCTGTAATCCCAGCTACTTGGGAAGCTGAGGCAGGAGAATCACCTGAACCCAGAAGGCAGAGATTGTGGTGAATGGAGATTGTGCCATCGCACTCCAGCCTGGGCAAAAAGAGTGAAACTCTGTCTCAAAAAAAGTACATGTCATGCTTCAACTGGTAAATTAAGGCCATTGTATCATAGCTCTAAAAAGATTCATTTGAAAATCAGTATTTTAAAAATATATATTGATTAAAATGTACCACTGGAAAGGTATTACGTGTCTTCTAATGGAAGTGAAATGTATGTAAGTATGGGTAAAAAGACAAATCGTGAGTTTGAGACGAAAACTAAAATTTTCATGGGAAAATACAAGCACATATGTACTTGAATAGTTTGGCCTTCTAAACAGAGAAGGCTTATGAAAGTAAATGCATTCGGCCGGGCGCGGTGGCTCGCGCCTGTAATCCCAACACTTTGGGAGGCTGAGGCGGGTGGATCACGAGGTCAAGCGATCGAGACCATCCTGGTCAACATGGTGAAACCTCGTCTCTACTAAAAATACAAAAAATTAGCTGGGCATGGTGGCGCGTG